TTTTAATGCTACACGAATGGCCTTCTGAAAGAGGTTTATTTTACTTTCATTTTCCCAACTCTAAACTTTCTCCCCTCCATCCAAATGTCATTGGTTTTCATTATTTTTAGTGTACTTAACAAATAGCAGTGGAAGAGCTGGGAAAAATCAAATACCTGTCTCACATGGATTTCTCCATCTTTTGCAGTACATGAAATTCAAGAAAAAAAAAAAAAAAAGCTGCTGCTTGGGCTGAGGAATGGAATAGCTGCATGCTGGCAGGCAGAAATGCTGGTGACGTTAGTGGCAGGAATGTGGGTACCACCTGGTTGCTGTGCTGCTAATACTTCTAGCTTTTACCTCAGGGCCTGGAGAGGTACGTCATCCATCTAGCTCTGAACTTGTTTTGGAGAGCTGGTGCGTGATTGTAAAGACTTATAGCTAAGGAATGTGGCTGTGTCTTATATGGCACTGTGTGAAAGCATCCGGGCTGGGACGGGAGGGACCGTTGGCCTCCCAGGAACCACAGAGTGTAAAAGAGGAAGAAAATGATTAATATTAATAGCACTGGCCTTGGAGGCATGCCCCAGGGCTCCATCAGCCAGCACGACCCCAGCATGCAAGGCACGGAGCAAAGAAGAACACTGTCCCTTTGCTCGAGGACCGCTGTGAGACAGACGTACCTGAACACTGCAGGCACGGCCAACTGCTGCGTGTGCGTGGGCTTCTGGAGACGAGCTATCACCAGGCCCTTCTGCAGGTTCATTTCGTCAGTCAAGAGCATCCACAGACAAGGCTACGAAACATGAGCCTTTGCCCAAGACCACATTTTTGCTGGTAGGAGGAGGGCGTTTGAACAGAGGCAGCCTGACTGCTTGTTTTTTTTAAAAAAAAAAAAAAAAGAGAAAAAAAAGGGAGGTAGAGTTTGTGGCAAAGCCTGTCATTTCTGGAAGATTCCGACTTCCTTCTTTCTGGGCATTTTTAACAATCTATCACTTAAGAAATAGTTGCACATCCCATGCTGTTAATATACGATCCCCACGTGGCTCCTACCAGTTTTACAGGCGAGGAGCTGAGGTGAAAAAGAAAATGAGAGGAGCTGGAGGACTGAGCCACAGGGGAAGCCCCTGGCGAAGGAAGGAGTTGTTAGCCTGCTTTCCCCCGGTCACGCTTACTCTCTCTTCCAGTCTTGCAACAGTCATGGGGGAGAAATAGCCAAGCTGGGCAGAGCTGTGACCTGCTCCTGTGGATCTAGGCTCAGAGGTCTCCAAATGACAAAAGCATTTTGGTGTGGGTGTGCAGGCTCAACCTCTTCTTCATTAAAAAAAAAAAAAAAAGAAAAAAGATATAAAACTGCTGTGAGGGAGCCAAAGGAGATTTTTCTTTTCTTCTTGGCCCTCTTGCTACTTCTGTGGGAACCCAGCAGTATTGTTTCCAGAAGGCTTGGTCTCTGTCACCCAAGTCTTTGGCATGTTTGGGGACACCCTTACTACTTCCCTTTCCTCCCCTGCAGAAGAGTCCAACTCAGCTTTGACCGCAAAGCCCAGGAGGCCTTGGAGTTTGTCTGAAACAAAAGAAAAAGATTGCGAAAGGCAGTGGTGTCAAATAATGCTTCCATTTAGTAGGAATTTTGCTCCCCTTGCATTCCCAGGCAGCACCTGCTGTGTGAGGCTCTTGGCCAGCTCCTCTGAGCCTCTGTGGTAAAACAAACAAAAACAGCAGGGAAAAAAATTCCTCTTTATAACGCCTGTTATCCTCAGGCTACCTTCCAACACTGCCTCGCCTCCCCATGTCGATGGTACTCTCCAGGGAAGCAGGCTACTACGGGGCCAGAAAGCCTTGTGCAAATGGGTAGTTGAGCAACGGAGGAAGAGACCCTGTCTTACTGAAAACAAGACTGTTTTCCTTCTCTTCCTTCATGTCTGAATGCAGAAAGGTCCTTACCAATGTCCCAGCTGAAAGAAAAAAGGAAAAAAAACCTGACACGTTGTTACTTCCATAGTAAAAGCAATTGGGAATTATTCTGCATTAGGGGAAGATAGGGTTGGGAAGGAAAAGAATGGGCAGTCTGTCTGGACTGGCTAGGGGACATGGTCTTTGGAGATGTTTATAACCCTCTGCTCAGCCCTTAGTGTTCACTGTTCCTTCTCGCATGTCTTACCATTTCAGGGTAGTTTTGAAGTCCTTTTGTGTTTCAGAGCTTGGTGGAACCGGCTGTGCTGGAGGTTGTTTATGTCTTCCTGGTGTCTGCCCCAAATGTCCCACCTGCCTTTTGCCTGCTCAGTCCCCAACGCTGCCGCACCGCCAGCGATACTGGTGGGGACTTGTGCAGCCTTCAGGAAATGGGCCAGCCTCTCACAGGGCTTTAACAGCATCTTTCTCACCTCACACACCCCCTCCAACTCCTGCCTGCTCTGCACACGCTCGATCGGAAGACAAAAGACTTTCAGGACCTTGGTTTTGATCCTCCCTCTAGGCAACACCTTCCAGATAGCTCTTCTGAGGCCAAATAGCCCTGCATTTCATATGGACAGAGATTCACAGGCCGTTGTGATCACCTGGCCTGTCCTATGTAGCGCAGGCTACTGAATAACTGCTGGCATCCAGACACAAGGAGCCCATAATCCTTGCTCTCTTCACCCACACTGCCTTGGTATCGCCTCGGATAGAGCTCCAAGTCAAATGTTCTCAGCAAACCTTTGGGACTATATTTTGACCAGGCTCCTTCCCTTCCTTCCCTCTTGTTACATATCTGATTGAGGGTAAAGAGAAGAGCAAAAATGCAGGAAGATGGAGGTACGTGCTGGGAAAGTCCAGGGCTTGTGGAAGTGATGGGAGAAGTACATGAGACCTTCTACTCTCCTCCTCATCCGAGCCTTCCCAAGGTGTGGGCCAACACCTGTGTACAACCCACCAGAGATCACGTTCCTCATTCTGTTGGAAGCAGTGTTTTAGCTCTGTAGGTTACCAGTGTGTCTGCCAAGATGTCTCTGCACCCTGCAAATGAAAGATGTTCTACAAAGGGCTCCCATTCCTTCCGTGGATTCCTGTTCTGAGTAGCTGTGCTTGGTGTCCAGTGTGCCTGTCCCTGTTTTTTAATGTGCTACCCAAAACATCGCAGAAGAAATTCAGACGCCACCTGGAGACTCGCCATGGTCCAAGAGTGAGGTCTTGCTTCACTGTTCCAAAGACTCTGCCTCAGGAGGTAGCTTCTGTTTCTGAACACAGTCCCTGTACTTACAATGTGAGACATCACACCTGTATTAGAAAATCTAGCAGTGGTGATGACAGAGCTACAGCCTCTCGGACACGATTATTCTCCACGAAGTTATGGGATGGCTCCTGTGACCAGGTGTAGGTGTCCAGTTTAGGATGACATGAAACATTCTGCAATCTTCTCTGTGTTGATTAGACCACCCGTGATTATAACGGGAGTTTAAACACCCAGCTCATTTGTGAAGACCTACACTGGAGACCGCTGAAGTGAGGCAGGATGAGTAGAGAATGCTTCTCGTCAGGCCCCCCGCTTCTGGACTGAAATCTTGGTGGAAATGACTTCAAAACCAGCGCTGAACTGCAGCCATCAATTTTATGCTTGGTAAGGACATCAGTAGGCAATGGTGAACTGCCTGTGTGAATCCAGAGTCAAACAGGTCCATTTGCAAGCTTGACGTTATTCCCGTGACATTTTGCTGCCAATATTTGCTCACATCCTCTTGAAACTCTCCTGCCTTGTTAACACAACCCTAGTGGTTTTGGTGCACATTGCGCTGTTGACTTTGGAGTTTTAGCCATCACTTCATTTTCTGTAGCAGAAAGCTTAACACCACCATTAACACTGGAATTACCGCGAGTGTCACTGCTGAAGAAGGTCCCAAGCCACCTGTCACAGGCCACTGCTCATGCTCACAGAAGCAAACGTCCCATCCCAGCGTGTGCCCTCCAGCGCAGGGATCTTCACTGAACAACCACCCCCGGTTGCGATTCCTTCTCCCGACCCCCTTCCTTCCTCTGCACCCCTAACACCAGCCACGGCACATTGGCTTTGCTCGGCGGCTTTGTGATTTCAGGCTAGGGTTAGCATTTAACTAGTCAGAATGGTGCAAGGAGCCCGTATAATTACTGCTGGGATTGTGCTGCGTAGGCCCCGTGTAACGAACTCGCCTCAAATAACCCAGCTTGAATGTCAGAGCCCGTGCTGTATTGTGTTTCACATTCTGGCTGTGGGAGCGCTTCCCCAGCAGGAGTCAGGGTAACAAATCCCTTCCTCTCGCAGGAGGGCCCCATAAAATGAATGATTCTGGATCTCACGCTCCTGAGGAGGTCTCGGTTACTCCAGCAGTTGCCGCTCGTAGCGGGAGCGACCATAGGGGACGGAGGGAGGGAAGGGTGGTTTGGCAGGCTTTGCCGTATCGTCGCCCTGGTGTTAGAGTGGGAAGGAGCACCAGGACTCTGCTCTCCCTTCCAATCTATACTTTTGCATAGATGTTAAGTTAAAAAGAAGCCAAAAAACCCCAGAGTGGATAGACCCTGAGGCTGAGATTGAATCGAATGCATCCGCTTGAATTCCTGCACAGCTGCTGGTGACAGGAGGCTCCCAATTCCTCCCGGGTCAGACTTCCCTGCGAGCAGCACCGATGTTGGGACGTTTATGGGGTGACAAAAAACGAGACAGTTCCCCCCTTGCGCCATGTGCGCCGGGGCCAAACCCCTCCGCTCCCTCCTGGAGTAACTCACGGCATCCCCTCCGCCAAGTCCTGCGGCTCGGCAGCCAGCGTGGCTGCCTCTCCATCCATGTCAGAAACCTGAACTCCCCCACTTCTCCTTGGGAGAGGGAGGTTGTTCCTTCAACTATCTCCAGTCCCTTGTTATCTTGCTTTCCTTGTCAGCCAGTGAACTGTGAAGCAGCAACAGAGAGAAAAATGAACTCTGACCTCATTTCCCCCCCCCCCTACAATTAGCCAGAACTGTGCTTTTTTTTTTTTTTTTTTTTTTTTTTTTTTTTCCCCTCCCCTCCCCACTTTTTAAATGATTAATAAGACAATTTGGTCCTTAGCTTCTGCAGTGAGGCGAGTGTGCTGACAAAGCACTATGATGCCTCTTCCAGGTCACCCGGCAGCAGGCCATGTCTTTATGAAAACATAAAAATTGGAGGGACTTATTTGAGGAATTTGGAGACTGAGACACAGGAATTTTGCCCTTCAGACCCTGGCAACTGCATGTCTGCAGTGGTCTCTGAGCCACAGCGACTGTCATAGAAAGGAGTAGCTGCCTAACAGCAACCTGCGAGCTCTGAAAAACAAATCTTTTTCTCCTTTTGTTATGTTTCTGTAAAATATGCAGCCACTGCCCTTTGCTTGCTTTGTGTGGTGACAGCCTCAGGGTGTGCAGCAGGCTGGATCCAGTGGCCAAACACAGATCTGTAAACACCCTCGATGGCAGTGCGCGGGGGATCCCTGCTCCCACTCGCCCTGTGCCTCGGCATCGCTCTGCCACGTGTGCTCATCCCTCTCCTGAGTTTCCTAAGCTCCTGGTGCAGTGGGGAGAAGGGAATTCAAGCAAGGGGGAGTCTGTTCTCTTAAATCGTCCTTCCTATGTCTGTGCCTGCTTCACGCCACCTGATGCATTTGGAGACAGAAGGAGCCCCTGTGCGCTCCTGGGCTTTGCGGGGGTAGGAAGGACTCACACCACAGGGATGCTCCTGCAGCGGCTGGCCAGGTGTGGGCAGGCAGGGAAAGGATCTTTGCTGGGGCAGCCATGGATGGGCAAAGCTCTGGAGAACCACGGGGGGGGGAACAATCCTGCATTGGCTTCTGCTTGATAGCTTAACGGCTTGCTTGGCTCTCCCCCCTAACAGCAGGTAGTGCCTGCCCTCCGTCCTGTCAATTAGAAAGCAGCGTTTCAGGAGCTGCTTTTCACACCGCTCCCAGCAGACCCCCTCTGCATCACTGGGGCTTGAGAAATCCAATACCAGGCCAGTGGATGCAATATGTTTAAGGCATTTTAAAAGCCGATGAGTGCACAGGTGGAGTTTGCCATCCTGCAGGCTGCTGCTGGAATGGTAGTGGGATTTGAGCCTTTTTGAAAGCAACTTCGGCACGTTAGAGAAGCGATCTGCTCTTAGCTGTTGCTGTGGAGTGGTCTGCAGAGTAAATGACGTGATTCTTGCCATATTGTGATGTCCTTGTGTGCCGTCATGGGTCACTTGACCTGAGGAGGAAGGCATGCTCTTGGCTGAAAGACAGTGGTGGCAACTGCCAGGGGGACTCGCTGAGCGGAGAAGCCAGTGAGGGAGCATGGAGTCTCCTCCAGAGACATGAATGAAATAGAAAACATTTTATTACACCTCTTGATACCATCCATATGGTTAAGTGGATTTCAAGGCTGCAGCACTTGACTAAAAGAAGCATATTCTAGGATCAAGACTCATGGTTTCACCCGCAGACCATCTGCCCTGTAGGCTTTTGGTGGCCTTGGTTCCATCCGTTCCACCCTTGACCTGTAGGTGACAAGGTCTCTATTAGCCCCTGCAGCCTCTCTCCGCCTTACTGCCCTTGACACTGACCAGCTCTAAGGAGGAGCATTTCCCTGCCCTTTCCAGGAGGCCTCCCCAGCTCTTTCAATCTTTCTTGGAAGAGCTGTTATCTGTCCAGATGTTCACAAGGGGGAGGACTCCAAGATGAGCCTTCTTCATTACCTCCAACAAACTCTCCCTTTGCTCTGGCAGATGCTTCCCACTCCTCCCACTGTGCAGCTGGGACAGGGAGAAGACGTCAAAATTTACGGGGCTGGTAGATACGGCCATTGGTGTGGCTACAGAGGAGAAAAGAAACAGCAGTCGCTGCCCCTGGACATGCACTCTGAAATGACAAAGATGTCCCGCTAATTCACGTATGCCACTTAATAATTAAAAACTCCCATACAATTGTTTAGCAAATGCTAGTTTTCAGTCATCACTATGAATTTTTTACTGTAGTACCTCCCAGGAGCAAGTCCGATTGGGCTCCCGTCATGCTATGCAATCTGTGAGCAGCCAGGGAGGCTGAATTCCTTTCTCTAGGAGTTGACAGTCCAAATAAACAAGGCAGACAAAGGAGAGGAGGGGAAACAGAAGCTCAGGGGAGGTGAAGTGAGTTGTCCAAGGTCACGCAGCAGGTCAGTGCCAAAGCTGGGAGCAGAACCCATGCTGCCAGCTCCTGCTCTCATGCTCTATCTCCCTGGGGAAGACTGGGCCAAAATAATTTGTGAGACAAAGAACTTCTATCACATTCCTCCTGGCACCATGAAGTTCTTCAGCTTGTGCAAATAAAGCACAGCCAGATAAAGAGGCAACTGGGCACCAGTTATATTTTGGTTTGCTAGGTCTTTGTTTCTTCACATTAGTAACGTTAGAAAAAATCTTTACCAGCTAGACTAACCCATTGTCTGGGTAGAAATATCAGAGTCAAAGAAGAGCATTGCTTTGGGCCACTGATCTACAGATCTGGATGGTGGGATGCAAGGTTGGATGGTATCTGCTGGAAGGAAGGCGCTGGCCTCCAACCCCTAAGCCAGCACAGCTTGGAGATGACATCCCCTCTTGCTGCACACTGTCACTGAGACTATGGCAGAGGTGCTGACCAGCAGCCTGGGCAGCTGCAGGGAGAGACAGGGGAGAAAGAGCAGTGATGAAGTAAGGAACCAGCCGTGCTCCATTGTGATTTCCCTCTGGAGGGAGGTGAAGAAGCTGATGAGGCCCCAAGGAGGCACCTTCTGTGAGTACAACCAGGCAATGGAACATCTCAATATGATTTCAGAGCGTGGTTGAGGTGGTGTGGCTGCTGCTTGAGGGGTAATGATAATCTCAGGACCCGTCCTGTCTCCTCTGAGAAGTAGGAAAAGCCAGCAAGGAAGCAAAGCAGCATCCTCAGGGACTCACCTGTTCTTTGCCTGGGGCAGAGCTGGTGAGCCTGGTTCTCTCTCGATCCCACTGGAGGCATCACTGCTTTCATGTTCCATAATTTATCTTTCAGCCGTTTCTCAGGACACCGAGGGTCCTGATGTACACAGCATCCATCCAGATGGATGCACCTCACCATCAAAATGGAATCGGCCAGGTCTCCCTTTACTCCTTTAGGTGACAGGGTATTAGCATAACACCTCTATGTTTTGGGTTTGGGTTGTTTGGGTTTTTTTGGGTTTGGTTTTTTTTTTTTTTTTTTTACTGTCTTCTACTAAACTCTGGCTGGTTTGTTCTTACACTGTTGTGGTAGGGAGGGAGGGCTGGATGCTGGACTAGGACATCTGGCACGCATGTAAGGGGCTGGCAAGCTCAGACTCAAGCCATCAGGCCCTTGTCTCCACCATGCTACAAGGCAAAAACCTTTCTGAAACTGAACTGCCCTCCCTTCTCAGCAGTGTCATCCTTTTGGGAGCACGGATCCAAGAAGAGCTGCAGCACCACATGAACACGTCTTTGGGAATCTGGAGAGGTGACTATTCTTGTTTTTGCAATTGATTAAATGATCTTTCATTAACAGATGTTAAACACAAGAACTTTCACCTCCACTTCCCTCTTCCCCACAGACAATTTTCTTGCAGCGCAAGGAGGGCCTGATCTCAGTGGCAGGGCTGGGCAGGTACAAGCTGATTAAGCCATGCTGGCTGGCTGAAATGTCACTGGCCGATGTTGTCAATTATCTGCAAAAGCTTGTTTATCTCCTGCATACTGTTTTGTTGCTAGCTGCTCGACTGCTCTAAGGACATGTGCCATCCGTGCCCTGGGTGGCCCTGATGCCCTCAGACCTCCCTCACCCCATCTGAGTCTCAGGCGATTCTCAGGGCAAGATAAGGACCACAGCAGCAGCTGCAGGAGCATATGGTAGCAGACCAGGGTTGGAACTTATGCCATTTATGTCATATGAGATGTCTTTGCATGGAAGAGCACTCGTATTGGCCCATCTTCCCAGTGTACTGTCCTGTGAACCAGCCTGCCTGCCACGAAAGAGCAAGAAGGAGAAAAAAAAAAAAGAAGAAAGAAAAAAAAAAAAAGCATAAAACTAATTAAGTAGCATGGCCGTTTAGCAATGGACTCCAGAAATTCTTGCTGTTGTCCCTGAAGTCAGGGTATCGAGTGCCACGTCTGATTGAGGGGCTGCCACAAGTGTCTGTCGCCTCACCTCCAGTAAAGCCCATCACAAAAACTGCCTGCTGCCAAACACAGGCAGTGAAAACTGGCAGGATCTGCTCGTTCCATCCTACATCAGGCTTTGAAATGGTGATGTCGGTGTGGACATGCAATGAAAAATGCTGAGCCGAAATCTTCTGTTGGTGTACCTTTGATGTCAGTGCCACCAAACTCAGCAGAGACATTTTTGATGGGTCACCTGTGAATGAGAGCACTTGAAGCTGCTGGCCTGGACATCCACTTGAATCTTGCCCACATGTTTTTTTGGCCTGGAAATGGTAAGAGTTAACCAGAATCAGAAAGACTGGTTTCAGCAGGGTCAGAAATTACTGCAAGACAGCATTCCTCGGGGTATTTCAGTGCCTCTACCTCCAGTCAAATCCCAAAGAGGGCAGAGGAATGCGAAAGTTGAAAAAAGGGTTGACTGAACTTTTCAAACTCAACAGAAGGGTCAAGTGTTGTTTGGTTCAAGTCTCAGGCAAAGGCTGGGTACGGCTCTTTGTCTACTGGAGGAGGTTCACGTGTACCTGGTTCAAAAATAACGTCATGGCCATTGGTCAGGAGGGACAGTAAGGAAGTGGACTCAGCTTAATTCTCATAGAACATATGACTGACAGGAAAAATATGTGGTTTAGCAAATCTGTCACTCTCAGCAGTTTCAGTCCAGTTAAGGGCTGAGACGTCAGCGGCCGAGCAGAGGTATGAGTTACCTGCCCGCAGCCCCGTGGCCAGGCAACACCCCCGTGACTCCAGCCGTGCCATGCATGGGTGCCCATGGGGCACACAGCCCCGCGAGGGCACGAGGCTGGCACAGCTTCATCCCCCCCGTGCAAGAAGAAGGGCAGGTGCCCGAGGCCAAAGGGCTCCTGTGAGACTCGAGGTGCGCTAGGAGGACTTCATGGTGTCCGACCTGCCATGCTGACAAATCCTCAACTCAATCCGCTGTGCTGCCACCAGTTTTTTTGTGTGACTTTGAGCAAGTTAGTCAGACCTCCTTTTTTAAGAAGTCCTCAGGAGACCATGGAGATAAATAAGCAGAAAAGCGGTGCTCGGAGATACTGTGGAAATGATGGAAGGATGCCATGTAAGTACAAAGGATGGGAGTTATGCACAAAACCACATTCACCCATTTTAAGACAAGGCTAAGGGCCCTACTCATTCATGCACTTCTGAATTCAAATAAATATCCCTTAATAGGAAAACAAATGCCATTTACAGGTAACCTGAAGTACTGTTTTAAATGGGTGTCTTGAGGAATGCAAGCAAGTCTTTGGTGTTGTTTTACCTCCATTCTTCACTCTCCCTCCCACTTGAAAGGGTTTGAATTGGCCAGAAACAGCAAGCAATGTGAGAGAGAGAGTTTAACCATTAATAAGGGTGGACAATGGTTAGGGAGGTAGCTAAGTACTCTGATTATACCTAACCAGATGGCTTCTTGTCTCTGTGTCATTGAGTTTTGGGAGGTTTTTTTTTGGCAAACTGGCCTTGGCTAAAGCCTTTTGAGGAGTTAATGAGCCAGAGGAGAATCATCTTTCCCATGGGCATGATTCAAGCCTATGGTTCTTGCAGGTTTTCATGGCTACCATGTGCAGGAGTGCAGCCATGATGGGGGGTTATACATGCTGGCACTCTGCTAAAGGGCTTCACAGCTTGGAAAAACCCTGGCTCTCCTCTCAGCAGAGCCTCAAGAAAGACTTAGACCAAACCAATGGGTGTTTGGGCAAAGGCAGTGTCTGGCTGAATGCAACATCAGCTCCAGGTGTCAGCAGAAGGAGACATTTCAGGGTTACTGTAATGTACATCACTTGGGGGCTGTTGGGGGAACAGGCATGTTGCAGACTCTCCTCCCATCCTTTGCCTTCATCAGGATCCATCCCTCCTGGGCAAAGGGCTTAGAGTACTCACATCAGAAGGGGCTGATCCTTTGGCTGCCTGGCCACGGCCACACAGGAAGGAGGACAGCCAGCAAAGCTGCTCTCAGCAGAACCATTCCTGGGACTTCTCCCATTTTTCAGAGAAACCCCTTCAGAAACATCCCAGGATCCATACTGTAACACTCGTTGGCACTAAAAGCTGGGTTTCTTCTTCACCCATCTGTTTAGGATCCTCAGCCTGTTAGTAAAAGAAAAATAAAAAAGGTGCTCTGATACGTTTCTGGATTGCGTCTGAGTTGATAGTTGCTGCAAAACGAGAGAGATCGTCGGATTCATTGATCTGAAGAAAAATAAAAAAGAAAGGAAATAAAGTCACAATATGCAACGCTTGTCAAAAAGCAGGGTTAGGGTTGGGGAAAGAAGCTGGGCAGCTGTTTTGGAGTTGCCACTAGAAATTAGCATTTTGAGGAGGGATCAAAGTTTGCGATCAGAGAGGTGACTTTAACCAGTTCGGGTCTACTGCCTCTCTGCCTCTTGGGTAACATGAAAGCAGCTTTGAACACTGACAAAAACAAGTTTTCCCTAAAGTCAGCACTCCCAAGCTTGTGCAAAGCTAAAAGAGGGAACTGCCAGCTAGTTTTTGCTTCTCCCACCAGCAAGGCCACCAGCTGAATCCTGACCTCAGCATGTTTTTGGTAGGTGACAGCTTAAAAGCAGGAAGGACAAGCACAGGAATACGAACACAGCAAGAGCCACCTGAATCCTCCTCTCTCAGATGTGAAGTGAAACCCGTAATCAACTGTTTCAGAAATTCCAGTAAAGTTCAGAGCTCTGACACGGTCCATATAGTCTGGAAACTTTTAAATAAACATCCTGACTTCTGAATTGCATAGAAGACTGGAAGCAACCTCACTTCTTGCTCAGATACCGCGTGAGGCTTGCAGCGTTGCCAGGTGGGGGGAAAAAAACTACCTTGGTTTAACCTATAGACAGTGTGCAACCTGGAAAGGCAGGAGTCATTCAAAGGAAATATAGCTGGGACACAAAGCAGTTTTGCTGAGGTCATCTTATTGATTCTGATCTGTCATGAGGGATGCTTCAGGTACTGACCAAACCCAGCTGCTATGAGAATTGCTTTCCAAATTTTTTAAAACCTTGTTCCCAATGTCTGTGTGAGCCACAGATCTGCTCCTACTCTTGGCAGTGTCGCTGGACATAGTTGTGTCCTAACGAAGTGACGGAAATTGAGAAGTTGTGCTTAAAAGCCAAAGGGCCTGATAGGAATAATCCCAAATTGGGCTCAGAAAGAAGAGTGAGCGAGTCAAGCTACATTGACAGACTGGTGGTCTTGCTTTCTCAGGGCTTCATATAAGGCACTTAAGATCCCTGCAAAACCTAAGAAAGAAACACTCAGAGGATTTAATAAAAAAAAAGAGTCTCAAGCTCTTCCCTCCACCACCGCCCCAAAATACGATTGTATTTTAAAAACACTTATCAGCATGGTGGAGACAATCTTCATGCCTTGTGTAAAATCTAGCATTTCCCAAGTGACACCTTAAAACATGACATATTTTTGTCACACAGTTCTCAGCCTGCTTAGCAGCTGAACTTTAAGGTGAGAAGAGCTGTAGCTCTGATCCAGTACGTGCGTGTATTGCTACAAAGCACAGCACGAGGGCAAAGAGCCCTGATGCTTAGTGAATAATCAATAGACTAAGTGGGAAACTCTGTTTCCCAATCCTGTGAAAACTTCCAGAATATCAGAAATGGTTTTGGGTTTTTTTTTTTGTTTTTTTTTTTTTTTTTTTTTCCTCTTTCCTCAATCAGGAGGAAGCCAGAACTTGGAAAACTTGATTGAAACCTGAGTTACAATATGTCCAGAGGAGATCAATGACAACAAAACATTTCAGTGTTGACCTTTCCCAACTTTTTTATTCCACGTTTACTGTGTTCATAATACTATTACTGAACCTAAAATATTTTCAGCACAAGATTCCCCAGAGCTGAGACCACTGACCAGACTCTTTGCTTTCACTGATAATTGAAACTCTACTTTTTTTCCCACAGATAGTATTGCTTTGGAGTAAATGGCATTTTCAGGTTAAAAAACGGAAACTTTTTCGAAGGAAAACTACTGACCACCTTGAAGAATGAGATCACACAAGGGCCCTGTAGCTTGCACACTGAATTAACCTGTAAAGGTTTGCTTCAACATACACCCCTGGGCAGGAGTAGCTCAGACCAGCTGTAGAGGAGCCGCTCGCTGCGGCTCGCCGTCATCCCTGTGACTTACTCGAGACCCCTGTGGAGGGACCTTGGACAACTGGGACCTGTTCCTCAGCCAGAGCAGTAGGTTCTGTGCCGCAGAGCGGGAAGCACATGCAGAACAAAAGGCGCATGCCAGCTCCTTCGAATGTGGCTCCGTGTGCCCCTGGCAGGGCTGTGGCCAGTCTCCGCAGGTGGCTCCATCCCCTACGCCAGCACGCCCAGGGCGACTTTCATTTGCACCCTCTCCCCCCCGCTAGCTGCACTTCAGGCCGTGAAGAAGGAGCTGGGGAATGTGCTGAAATACCTCCTTCCCCAAACCGCAGCGTTTGCTGCTGCCGTTTGGTCCCATCTGATAAAACAAAACACAGACGGCGAAACCCGCGCCGCTCGCTTCCTCCCTCTGACGAGGGAGTGAGCTCAGCACGCCCCGGCGTCGCAGCCAAATCCCGCAGGGGTAATTTAATCGCATTCCTGCCCTGTCTGCCTCAGTTACCCCACTTGGACGTGTTATGTCTCCGCGTTTCCTGTTGTGGCATCCTCGGCATTCCCCACCGCACTCCCAGCCGCGTTGCTCCCCCGCGGACGTTGCTGCCCAGGACTCTTTGCCGGCACACATGCAAGCTGTCGGAGGCAGTGGGACACATTCCTGGGATGGATAGGTAAAAGCTCGTTCGGATCTATTCAACCCAGGACTTCTCAATCACGGCAGGTCCGGGGACGCGCGTGTGTTTGATTTTTGCCTTGGCACCGTATTGAGAGCAGGGTGTCAGGGGGGAGTTTAGATTTAGGACTGATTTTAGGGGATTGATGGGACCTACCAAGTGGGCGATTCCCTCCTTGTGAGGTTTGCTATCAGAAACTTAGTGAGAGTTTTAGAAAGAGCACAAAACTCACAAGTGCTGAAAGCCACTGTAAAAACACCTCCTAATGAGCAAATTAACAGCACATTCCCAGACCTCATCAGTCAGGGCTCTGCATGCGACCCTAAATGATGGAAAAATCTATTTTAAGAATGTTCAGGGAACTTCTCAGGATGTAAGTTTTTTCTTTTTTCTTTTTTTTTTTTGTGTGTGCACTCAATAGAATATTTTGTGCGCTGCCTCA